ACCGATAAATGCTTAAGTGTTTTTTATTGTTTTTTTTTTTTTTTTTTTCTAATTGTAAGGATTGTGAAACTTCTAGATCTATTTCAGTTAAATCACTGATAACGATTTTAATCAAATAGTACCGAAAAACTACATATTTAGAATTACATTAAACCATTAACATAGTTTGTATATACACCAAATCCGAAGAAAAAAAGGTAGACCTCAGTTCGGAATCGAACCCCCGACAACCGGTCTATCAGACTAGAACACTATCCTGCCCAAAAAGATACAATTTGCATATATATTTATATTATGTAGAGTTTGTTACCTAATTGATTTAAAAGTACCAAAAAATTCATTCTATGAGGATGGTCCTGATATGTCAGATCATATGTTTCTAATAACGAAAAAGTACCAAAAATCCTTTCCTACAGATTTTTATTCACTCAGGACTCTAAATGTTTAGATTTAAGTTTGTAGGATCAATATTATAGAAAATTACAAAATTACCTCTTTAAAGAACGAAATAGTACCAAAAAGTCCCCTCTTATATGTTCTCATTTATTCCGGGCTCTACATGATTAATTTCATGTTTAAGGTTCAATATTATAGAAAGCTCAAAAAGTACTAAAAAATTGTTCTTGGTACCAGAGCATATTTAATTTTCGAAGTTCTAAAATGATATTTTCCCTCACACAATTATGCATCTCTGATTTTGACAATAGCAAAACAATAACAACTTTCAGCTTGTTCCCGTTCTGTTTTTATTAAAATAGCTATTTTCTCGAAAGCATGTCTGACAGAATTATTGAATATTTAGATACCGAAGATATCTGGGGTCTTCAGAAAATTGATTTCAAAACACATACAGACGGACTGACGGATAGACAGACAGGCAGACGGACATAGCTTAATCGACTCCGCTATTTATAAGGAGCAGCAGGAGTTACCCAAAAACTGGAGAATTGAGTACCATATGAATTAAAAAGGAAAGATCTTTAAATTAGCCTTTGATTGTCCGAAACACTATAAAGTAATTTTTACACCGAATCATTACTTCCGGTAGTAATGATAACACAATGTGATCGTTTCGTAAGAGATTATATGTAAAACCAAGTCAAACATTAGAATCAACACCAGAGAGGTAAGGTAATGCTAAGAAACGTATTTGACTTTACAAATCCGATCGCATTCTGTCCGATAATTTGACTTCAATTAAAAGTTTCTTTAGTATCTGAAACTGAAGCGATGAGTTCTACTTTAACTTTTTTGGATCGGCCCACATAGCTCCCATATATAAAGTTCTTCCAAAAATATATAATAAATAAAAGTGGGAAGGGTATTATGCGTTTGTGCTGATGTCTGTAACAACCAAAAAAGTATACCAATCGGTTCCGAAACACTTTCTGTGTCCATGTAAACCTTGTGCGCAAGCTACAGGTCGCAATTTCCCAGGAAATTTGATGAAATTTGGCACATGCAAGCAGTCTCGGCTCAAATCGGCGGCGGCTGGTCACCGGCCAAGTTTTGACAAGCCGCGCAGCCGCTGGTTCAAAAACTTATATTTTTCTTTAAAAGTTTGAACTGAGCTGCCACTTTTTTTAGACAAATTGAAAAGAGTTGCCACATCATTTTGTCTTCATGTATAAAAAATTGTTAGAGATAATTTTTCATAAAAATAACTGTAATAATGACTATTTTCTAAAGAAAATACTTATTAGGGTGATCGACTCGATTTTTCAACCGGTTTTAAAACCGGTTTTTTTCTGCTTTACCAGTGTCGGTTTTTTCTTAATGTTGATTTTTCGAATATCGAATAACCCGGTTTTTTCACTTTTTAAAAACCGGTTTCGAATACTTTTATTTGCTTTGTATTCAAAGATTATTTAAATGAAATTTTTAAGTAAATAATAATACAGCTAAATTTTAAAAATATTTGAGTCGAGGAACTAGCGTATATTTTTCTAAAGCTCCTTTGGTTAAACTTTTTTGATTTTCCTAATTAATTAAAAAAATTTATTTGTAAAATTGATAACTGTTTGATAAAATTGTATCAATCTTAAGATTATATTCAAATTACAATAATTAATTTACGGCTGAAATTTTATGGAAGTGTTGGAATGCCTATGCAAATTTCCTAAACAGGGCTTTTAAAATAAGCTAGGATTACATAGTACCTTATGTTTAACAGAAGTGTCCCACTTTTTTCCTAATTTTTTATATTAATGAAATAAAGTAAATCAGACGACTAGATCTATAGTTATAATCTTTTAAACTGTTAAAAATCATTTCGGGCCATGTTTTATTAATCAAATTTAAAAATAAACATTAAGTTTTTCAAATTAAAATATATTTTTTTTAATTGTAATGAAAAACCGGTTAACCGGTTTTTTCTGAATTTGAAAAATATCAACTGGTTTTTTTTAAATGTCAACTATTCGAACTATTCGAAAACCGGTTTTTGGAAAATGTCGAATAATCGATCACCCTAATACTTATATAGAGATACTTTTCTATCTAACAAACCAAAATAAACACATTTTTCTATGTAACAAACGCATACATAGAAATTTTTCTGAAAAGAACAAATTCTCAGCATAGATTTAGCCGATATTTTAGCCGCCGCCGGTATATTTTATAACAAGTCGCCATCACCGACCAAAAATGGTCGAGCCGCCGATCATTTTGCATCGGCTTGTATCTCTGATCGGGCCTCATTTGACGCTAGCCTAGCATACAAAGTCCCCTTCACAATTACAAGGTAATAAATTTCGAATAATAAACAAATTTTACAATCTCCTACTAAAATCATTTTCTAAAATTTAATTTTTGCAATTCATTAATTCATTTAATATTGACATAATTATGTCAAAATGTATAAAGTTATAAAAAATTACTTATTGTAAATGTAGAGTATTATTAACCACTTCATACAAGAACAATGTTTTTCGTAAGTATATTTAGTTTTTGTAAATTTACCTCTAAAACTTACTATTAAAATAAATTAAAATTAATTTTGAAAATGCCACCATGTCTGGCATAATAAATAAGACCTTAATGTTAACTAAGAAATGACTAAGTAGCTACTGAAACAAGTATAAAAGACGGGTGTACTCCCAACATCATTAACAATTACAAATTGTACAATCCAACCAAAACATCACAAACTCAAACAAAATGTTCAAATTCGTAAGTTTTAATATTTTCAAGTTTTTAAAGGAATAATTAATTAATTTGAATATAATATTTTTATTCTTTTAGATCGCTGTCTGCTTCTTCGCTTTGTTGGCTGTTGCCGCCGCTAAACCCGGTTTGGTAGCTCCATTGGCTTACTCTGCTCCCTTGACTTATGCCGCTGCTCCCGCTGTTGTTGGTCATGCTTCTTATGTAGCTCCTTATGCTTCCACCTACAATGCCCACCATATTGCTCACTCTGCTGCCTTCCCCGCCGCTTATGCTGCTGCTCCCGTAGTAGCTGCTCATTACGCCGCTGCTCCCGTTGTAAGTGCTGCTTATGCTGCTCCTCTTGCCACTCCCTTCGCTGCCCCCGTTTTGTTGAAGAAGTAGATTCAGAGAATTGAATTTTGAATAAATAAAACCAAAAATGTGATAAACCGATAAATTTGCGTTTTGCTTTTATTATTTAATGATCTACGAACCTATTTTAAGGCGAAGAATTTTGAATACTCATTTCAAAGTTACTCCTATTAATGACAATTACATTACTATGCTTGCTATCGCCTATAGTCACATAAAAAATAGGTTCGTTTTGTTTCATAAATAGTTCTATAGTTCCCGAAAAACATTATTTAGAACTTAAGATTTTTAGTATCAGGCAATTATATTCTGATATCTCCATCAAATTTCTACATTTCGGAAGTTGCCAAAACCAAAATTATTTGTTGATATTTTAAACCCCAAGGTCCAGTAAAAAGGTCAATAAGAGTGACGTCTATAATGCAATATCGTCTTACTTCTTATCTACTTCTTAATTTAATCTCCTTGAAGTGAGGGAACCGTAATTCCAAAAAGGACTATGTATATATACTGTGGTGTTCTAGAGAGCATAATAAAATGTTCGCGGAAATCAAACGATAACAGTGGAGTCAAATTCTCTGCTCCGAATCGTGAGCAGAATTTGACTTACTTATTACTTATTTACTCTGTGGTTCAATCGAATCAGTTTGTACCATCTAACTTCTGGATCTACATCGATCTCAACTAGGAAGTTACAACATCGAGCTTCCATATAATGATTTTAGTAGGAGTTCATGCAATATAGATAAATATGAATCGGCTTCTGTATACATGTTCTAATCTGGAGACTGCACAAAGTCAGATATTGTTTGTTCCAATTTATTCCTAAAATAGTTATGAGTTGTCCGATGTTCATCTAAAGCAATTCATGGTGTCAAATTAAATACTAATACAACTGTCAAGGGCTGTAGTTTATGCTGCTAATTCAATATTCGTTCTATATAGGTATGTGGCTGTATTCAGCTGCTTTCATCTTACCCTACAATCCTCTTAGGGTAGAGATTGGATTCATCTGTCAATGGGTTAATGCCTGACAATGAAGTTTGTTGTTTTTAAGTATATATTCTCAAGATTACTTGGGGACAGTAAAGTGACGACTGTCTTCGCTCTCGCTTACAACTAGGACACTAAAGTGATGACTATCTTCACTCTCTTTTACTAAGAGTACATTAGTGGCGAAAGATGTACACAACCAGAAGATTAGACATTAGTGGAAATAACTATATTTTTCAGAAGCATTGACTCTTTATACAATTGCTGGCTAGTGATCGGACCCCACTTAACACTAGATCAAGGATATTTAACAAATAATGTAAATGATCACTTCTATACACTTGTACCACTATGAAGTTCGGTATTAATAACTATCGGGCCATATTGGAACCTAAGCCCCATATAACATCTTTCTCAGAAAACTATGAGAAGAAACTGATTCCAATATTATTCGGATAATCATATTATAACCAAAGAAAAGCAGCATATTTTCAATTTATCACATATTTATTTATTCAAAAACACTTCACTGATCTACTTCTTCAACAAAACAGGGGCGGCGAAGGGAGTGGCAAGAGGAGCAGCATAAGCAGCACCTACAAAGGGAGCGGCGGCATAGGGAGAAGCAGCTACAACTGGTGCAGCGGCATAAGCGGCAGGGAAGGCAGCAGAGTGAGCAACATGGTGAGCATTGTAGGTGGAGGCAAAAGGAGCTACATAAGAAGCATGACCAACAACAGCAGGAGCAGCAGCATAAGTCAAGGGAGCAGAGTAAGCCAAAGGAGCTACCAAACCGGGTTTAGCGGCGGCAACAGCCAACAAAGCGAAGAAGCAGACAGCGATCTAAAATTTTAAAAACAACTGCATTAACAAGGATGTTTTAAAACACTAAATATTTTGTTTAAACTTACGAATTTGAACATTTTGTTAAAGTTTAAAGTTTGTTATACAATTGTTAATTGTTGCTTTTCTTGAAGGTGTTAAAGTATTTTATAGTAAAATCTGCTTAGTGTTCAAGTTGTTTTAATTTAATGTTTTTTTTTTATGCAGATATTTACACTTTCATTATTTATGCTGAACATGCTGTTCAAATATTAAACTGGACTGAGTAATTGAAGCAAATATTTTGACAAATATTTCCTTTAAATCGTGTGTAAATTAAGGGCCAACAACAAGTTCAATAGTCGTAGGTTTAAATATATGTGAAAACAAGTAAACTAAGTGATTGTTTATAACAGGACAGTGGGAGATAAAATTAAATTGTCAGAGTAACTTAAATCACTCTGTAAAGTATTATAATAGAAAGCCAAATAGTCTGTATAATAAAAAAAACTATTTTGTTAACTAATTTCAAACCTTAATAAATGTAACATAACTTTTCTTACACACTGTAAGCAATAACAACTTTTCTACTTACCTTTTGTAAATTATGCAAATAAACAATTTAAAGAGTTTAATTTAGACACCATAAAATGTCATTTAAAATGGCCTTTAAAAGGTTTAGAAGTAGTAGTTAAAATACTACTTTCGGCATAAATTAATTAAAGTAAAGTTTTAATTGAATAAAGAGCCTAAAAGTCTAGTAACTGTTGTATTGAATGACAGTCTGTCTTTTCTATCTATTAAAATGTCTTATTTGAATCTATTCAAAAACATTTCAATTAAAATACAATTTTAATTGAACTTAATCGATATTTATGTATGCAAAGGCACACAGACAAATAAATGTAAATATGCATGTAAGCATGCACAAACATGTATAGAATATGCACCTGCAGTTTTTTCTTATAACAACACTTACTTGCATGTATGCATTTATGAATTAATTTTATATTGTGTACACCCAGTAGGCAAGCATTTTTTAAGCATAACCCTGGAAATTATCAGAAACCTGATCAGGACTATAGTCTCTTATATGGACTAGGTATACTCTTGTCTAAGGAATAAACTAAAATTCAATATGTAGTCTTTACTTAAGGGTGATAAAATTCATAGCTATTCTATAGCCTGGGCTATAGTCTCTTCGATACTTCAACTTATTATCTAGACTTAAGTCTGGATTATGATATAGTCTATAGTCTAGTCTATAGTCCAGTCTATAGTCTAGTCTATAGTCTAGTCTATGTCTATAGTCTAGTCTATAGTCTAGTCTATAGTCTAGTCTATAGTCTAGTCTATAGTCTAGTCTATAGTCTAGTCTATAGTCTAGTCTATAGTCTAGTCTATAGTCTAGTCTATAGTCTAGTCTATAGTCTAGTCTATAGTCTAGTCTATAGTCTAGTCTATAGTCTAGTCTATAGTCTAGTCTATAGTCTAGTCTATAGTCTAGTCTATAGTCTAGTCTATAGTCTAGTCTATAGTCTAGTCTATAGTCTAGTCTATAGTCTAGTCTATAGTCTAGTCTATAGTCTAGTCTATAGTCTAGTCTATAGTCTAGTCTATAGTCTAGTCTATAGTCTAGTCTATAGTCTAGTCTATAGTCTAGTCTATAGTCTAGTCTATAGTCTAGTCTATAGTCTAGTCTATAGGTCTAGTCTATAGTCTAGTCTATAGTCTAGTCTATAGTCTAGTCTATAGTCTAGTCTATAGTCTAGTCTATAGTCTAGTCTAGTCTATAGTCTAGTCTATAGTCTAGTCTATAGTCTAGTCTATAGTCTAGTCTATAGTCTAGTCTATAGTCTAGTCTATAGTCAAGTCTATAGTCAAGTCTATAGTCTTTTATAGTCTAGTCTATAGTCTAGTCTATAGTCTAGTCTATAGTCTTGTCTATAGTCTAGTCTATAGTCTTGTCTATAGTCTTGTCTATAGTCTAGTCTATAGTCTTGTATAGTAGTATAGTCTAGTCTATAGTCTAGTCTATAGTCTAGTCTATAGTCTAGTCTATAGTCTAGTCTATAGTCTAGTCTATAGTCTAGTCTATAGTCTAGTCTATAGTCTAGTCTATAGTCTAGTCTATAGTCTAGTCTATAGTCTAGTCTATAGTCTAGTCTATAGTCTAGTCTATAGTCTAGTCTATAGTCTAGTCTATAGTCTAGTCTATAGTCTAGTCTATAGTCTAGTCTATAGTCTAGTCTATAGTCTAGTCTATAGTCTAGTCTATAGTCTAGTCTATAGTCTAGTCTATAGTCTAGTCTATAGTCTAGTCTATAGTCTAGTCTATAGTCTAGTCTATAGTCTAGTCTATAGTCTAGTCTAGTCTATAGTCTAGTCTATAGTCTAGTCTATAGTCTAGTCTATAGTCTAGTCTATAGTCTAGTCTATAGTCTAGTCTATAGTCTAGTCTATAGTCTAGTCTATAGTCTAGTCTATAGTCTAGTCTATAGTCTAGTCTATAGCCTAGTCTATAGCCTAGTCTATAGTCTAGTCTATAGTCTAGTCTATAGTCTAGTCTATAGTCTAGTCTATAGTCTAGTCTATAGTCTAGTCTATCTATAGTCTAGTCTATAGTCTAGACTATAGTCTAGGCTATAGACTAGACTATAGACTAGACTATAAACTAGACTATAGACTAGTCTATAGTCTAGTCTATAGTCTAGTCTATAGTCTAGTCTATAGTCTAGTCTATAGTCTAGTATAGTCTAGTCTAGTCTATAGTCTAGTCTAGTCTATAGTCTAGTCTAGTCTATAGTCTAGTCTAGTCTATAGTCTAGTCTAGTCTATAGTCTAGTCTAGTCTATAGTCTAGTCTAGTCTAGTCTATAGTCTCGTCTAGTCTAGTCTATAGTCTAGTCTAGTCTATAGTCTAGTCTATAGTCTAGTCTATAGTCTAGTCTATAGTCTAGTCTATAGTCTAGTCTATAGTCTAGTCTATAGTCTAGTCTATAGTCTAGTCTATAGTCTAGTCTATAGTCTAGTCTATAGTCTAGTCTATAGTCTAGTCTATAGTCTAGTCTATAGTCTAGTCTATAGTCTAGTCTAGTCTATAGTCTAGTTTATAGTCTAGTCTATAATCTAGTCTATAGCCTAGTCTATAGTCTAGTCTATAGTCTAGTCTATAGTCTAGTCTATAGTCTAGTCTATAGTTTAGACTATAGTCTAGTCTTTGATCATCCTTTGAGTATAATATATGTCATAGTTCTCTCAAATCTTTTTAATAATCATTTGGAATAGTAAACTCACCATTTAGTACATTTTTAGTTTACTGGGATTAGTGTGTGAATTTACTGGGATTAGTGTGTGAATGGGTGATGATTTAAAATCTATAAATGACTTTTCTTGAGTGCAATTTGCAATGCATGAATAAATAGTTAGAAAACACATATCGAATGCAATGTTGCATTAACACTTGAATATAAAAAGGAGTTATTTAGAAAGAAATTACAAATTATAAATTTTAATAAATGAATCTTTAAACAATCAATTATTGATCTTTGTTAAATGAATAAATCTTTGATAAAAAAGTGTAAATTTAATTTAATGAAAAACTTTATGAAACAAAATTCTAAATTTACAATAAGTATTAACTTCCACCGATATATCTCCCTTAAAATGAGCATGTCTCATTACCAGCGTTTTGACAGCTTAAGTCCCAATTAGTAGCAGTTAAAGCTAAGTATAGGAACTTGCTTCCCATCTAGACAAATACTTCCATTATTTCCAAGTCCTAAGTAGTACCTACTCCTCTGTTTTGCATTCAATTGTTAAGGAAATACAAAAGTTCATATACAACTTTTTTGTCACATTTTCCAAAAGATTTCTTATTGAAAGTAAAAGAACGAATAAATTCCCTACTCAACCCACAAATAAAAAAACAACTCATTTGTTGTTAATAAAAATTCAACAACATGTTTTCCAAAAGAGACTTTACACATATACACTCGTCATATTCTCAAGTGTATGTATTTGTGTTCACATGTACATATGTATGTATGTACAAAATTAACAATTATTAATGTACAAATTTCGAAAACGAAAGTTCAAGTATTTTAATGGTCTCAAGAGGTTGCAATTAAAAAATTACATTCATACAATATGAATTGATGGTTATTAAACCAAAAAGCAAAAAAATTAAGAACAAACAGGAATTGAGCCTTTAATGGACAGAAAATACAAAAAGCGTCAACCAACCCTTTACACACATGAACACCTTAATAAGGATAAATACATATACATATGTATATGTGTGTATATCCTTCTTATAAGGATTTCGTCTGTTCACAGCTATATCACAGCCTAATTGCTCTTTTAAGATGATAAAAAGGTCTGAATAATGTCCTTAAGAGAGAAGGCTCAATAGATTATTCTGTAGGTGGTGTTGGTAGTTATGATTAGAAAATGATTATGAATAATTCGTTTCCTCTTTTCGTACAAAATAATTCGTAAAAACTTTAACTTGTTTGCAATACAATAATTTCTGAGACTTCGTAATACACTAAACTAGAAACTGAACTAGAACTGAACTGAACTAGAACTGAACTAGAACTGAACTAGAACTGAACTAGAACTGAACTAGAACTGAACTAACTGAAACTAGAACTGAACTAGAATGAACTAGAACTGAACTAGAACTGAACTAGAACTGAACTAGAACTGAACTAGAACTGAACTAGAACTGAACTAGAACTGAACTAGAACTGAACTAGAACTGAACTAGAACTGAACTAGAACTGAACTAGAACTGAACTAGAACTGAACTAGAACTGAACTAGAAGAACTGAACTAGAACTGAACTAGAACTGAACTAGAACTGAACTAGAACTGAACTAGAACTGAACTAGAACTGAACTAGAACTGAACTAGAACTGAACTAGAACTGAACTAGAACTGAACTAGAACTGAACTAGAACTGAACTAGAACTGAACTAGAACTGAACTAGAACTGAACTAGAACTGAACTAGAACTGAACTAGAACTGAACTAGAACTGAACTAGAACTGAACTAGAACTGAACTAGAACTGAACTAGAACTGAACTAGAACTGAACTAGAACTGAACTAGAACTGAACTAGAACTGAACTAGAACTGAACTAGAACTGAAC